AATGTATGGTGATTAACATAACAATAAAAAAGAAAACAATTTTATTAACAAACTTGAGATCACATAGGCATATATGGATTAGTTTCCTCTTTTAAAAATTTAAAATATATTATGAAATCATTTTTCATTATAGTTACATATTATTAAAATTTACATTTTGGTCTGCATGAGATAATTTAACCATTTCTTCATTGTTGAACATTGAGTTTGTTTCTAATTATTCACAATTAATTGCAAATAATGTTGAACTGATATTCTCATACATAAAATCTTTATCTGTGCTTATGACTATTACTTCAGAATAGATTCATAAAATTAAATTACTGAATAATAGACTATGAACTTTCTTTTAATATTTTTAGGATAGATCTCCAAATTCCTCTCCAGAATATATAACTGTTTTGCTTTCCTATGAAAATTGTTATAAAGTGCCACACACAACAATTGAGCTTTATATAAAAAAGATTCTTTTGTAATATAATATGGGAAATTGTATTTCATTGGATTAATTTATATTCTGTTGATTACTAAGGAAATTGAAAAATTGTTCTCTATGTACTCTTTAGCTATTTGTATTTTTTATTCTTTGAGCTAGATTTCATGCAGTCTACCCATGGAAAACCTGTTTTTTAATGAGTACATTTTAGAATTTCAGTTGATTATGGTTCTTTAACAACTCTATGAAATTTGAAGATATTTTTTATCATAAGTACAGTATATAGTTTTAATTATGACAGAACGTACTTTGATTATCTAATAACTATTTTCTCATTTTAGGAGGAAGGCTGCAAAGTAGATGACTTTTCCTGGGCCTGGAATGTAGTATACATGTATACAACAATTCTTGCAGAAATCTGCTTGTATGCGACCACTTCTAATTTGCGAAAAACTGCCCTTACTGGTTTCTGTGTCTGTAAAAGTTCACAAAAAGATATTTTACTCATGGATAAATCAGAAGAACCACCAGAGTTGAAGGAAACAAGCATTTTAGGTCTTTTGGAATATTTCTCTTCAAAAATGTCAGATAATTGTAAGTAAATTATTTCTCAACTTGTTGAGAAATATTTCTTAAATGTCCCTGTCCACATATAGCAATAAGCCTTTTTATTTTATTTTATTTTATTTATTTAATTTTATTATTTTTATTTACTTTTATTTTTTTTAACCTACAGTGTTTTATTCGTTTCAGATATATAATATAGTGACTCAACAATGCCGTACATCATGCAGTGCTTATCACAAGTGTACTCCTTAATCCCCATCACCTATTTCACCCATCCCTCCACCCATCTCCCCTGTGGTAACCATCATTTTGTTCACTTTAGAGTCTGTTTTGTGGTTTGTCTCTCTCTCTCTCTTTTTTCGCCCCTCTGCTCATTTTTTTGTTTGTTTCTTAAATTCCACATGTGAATGAAATCATAGGTATTTGCCTTTCTCAGAATTATTTTGCTTAGCATTATATGCTCTAGCTCCATCCATGTCATTGCAAGTGGCAAGATTTCATTCTTTTCTATGGCTGAACAATATTTCATTGTGTATATATACTACATATTCTTTATCCATTCATCTATTGATGGACATTTGGACTGCTTCCATAATTTCACTATTGTAAATAATGCTGCAATAAACATAGGGGTGCATGTATCCATTTGAATTAGTGTTTTTGTATTTGGGTAAATACCCAGTAGTGTGATTGCCAGATTGTAGGGTAGTTCTATTTTTAACTTTTAGAGGAATCTCCATACTGTTTTCCACAGTGGCTGCTCCAGTTTGCATTCCCACTAATGGAGCATGAAGGTTCCTTTGTCTTACCAAGACTTGTTGTATCTTGTATTTTTTATTTTAGCCATTCTGACAGGTGTGAGGTGATATCTCATTGTAGTTTTGATTTGCATTTCCCTGATGATGACTGATGTTGAGCATCTTTTTATGTGTCTGTTGGCCATCTGGATGTCTTCTTTGGAGAAATATCTGTTCATGTCTTCTGCCCATTTTTTCATTGGATTATTTGTTTTTTGGGTGTTGAGTTGTATAAGTTCTTTATATATTTTGGATACTAGCTCTTTATCGGATATGTCTTTTGCAAATACCTTCTCCCATTCTATAGATGGCCTTTTAGTTGTGTTGGTTGTTTTCTTTGCTGTGCAAAAGCCTTTTATTTTGATATAGTCCCAATAGTTTACTTTTGCTTTTATTTCCCTTGCCTCAGGAGCATATCCAGAAAAATGTTGCTATGGCTGATGTCAGAGACATTACTGCCTATGTTCTCTTCAAGGATTTTCATGGGTTCAGGTCTCACATTTAGATATTTTATCCATTTTGAATTTATTTTTGTGTGTGGTGTAAGAAAGTGGTCCAGTTCATTCATTTGCATGTACGTGTCCAGTTTTCCTAATACCATTTGTTGAAGAGATTGTGTTTTTCCCATTGCATAGTCTTTCCTGCTTTGTTGAAGATTAATTGACCAAATAATTGTGGGTTTATTTCTAGGTTTTCTATTCTTTTCTCTTGATATATGTGTCTATTTTTGTGCCAGTATCATAATGTTTTGATAACTATAGCTTTGTAATATAACTTGAAGTCTGGAATTGTGATGCCTTCAGTTTTACTTTTCTTTTTCAAGATTGCTTTGACTATTTGCGGTCTTTTGTGGTTCTGTATAAATTTTAGGATTGTTTGTTCTAGCTCTGTGAAAAATGCTGTTGGTATTTTAATAGGGATTGCATTAAAAGTGTAGATTGCTTTGGGTAGTATAGACATTTTAACGATATTTGTTCTTCCAGTCTAAGCATGGAAACCCTTTCCATTTCTTTGTGTTGTCTTCAATTTCTTTCATCAGTGTTTTATAGTTTTCAGAGTACAAGTCTTTCACCTTGTTGCTTAGATTTGTTCCTAGGTATCTTACTTATAGATGTAGTCTTTTGTCAATGTTTTCTCAACCCAAGTGGACAAATAGATGTTTCTGGTTGTGCAACATATTTAAAGATTTGATCTGCAATAAAGAGGATACACATATCAAAATTGCCTCCTCCACAATCAGAAGTCAATCTGATTTCTATGACATCCAACTTCTTGTACAAGCCATAAATAATACTGTGTAGGCGTTGTCAACGTGATTACTGGGGAAGACAAGTTTGTCTTTTTGGAAAGTGACTTAAAGAACCTGGAGCTGCTGCTGTATTTAATTGAAAATGAATTTTTCACATGATTTTATCCTCTAAGTAAGTAAATTTTTAGAGTGAGAGAACCAGTCTTAAGTCACACAGATTTGTACTTTAATTCTATAACTTATATCTCGGAATCCTTGGTCAATTTATTTAATTTTGCTGACTGTTTTCTTTACCTGATAATTATGATAAGACTGCTATTCATATCATAGGGCTTTTTGTGAGAAAAAACTATGGAAACATATAAATACTTGGCATAGTACCTTGTGCATAGTAAAGGTCCAGTAAATGTTAATAGATGTTATGGTTGTTAATGTGGTTGTTAATATTGCTATAATGAGAAAACATCAATGAGGAAAGATTTTTTTCCCTAACATTACTATGTACAGTTTATATCCTCAGAATCCTACTTTATTTATATATAAAGATATAAATGGTAGTGAAAAATATTTTTAAATGGTATATATAATATATAAATAGTCTCTTATGAATGAGTCAAATAGTGTTCTTATGGACCATTTTTATATAAAGGTTTTAATATGAAAAAACACTTAAAATCATAGTTTTGTGAAGACAATGTTATAGGAAACTAATGATTTCCATGAAGATAATTTCCTGGTGATCTAATCTGATATGGGAGCAGAACTTAAGGAATCTAGGAAAATGGATGACTACTTAGAATGTTCTGTTTTCATTCTGAGGTTTTGTGTCAAACAAGCTTTTCATAGAGTCAGATATTTATTAATTCTAGAGTGAGGTCTCTGCCCAGTGACTGAAGTGCTGCCTTTTAGTGGTTTTGATTGAATGGAAATTTCTATGTATGCTTATAAATACCAACTATACATTTAACATTTGCTACTATGGATTTAACTGTGTCCCCCAAAGTTCATTTGTTAAAACTATAACCCACAATGTGACTGTATTTGGAGATGAAGTTATGATGGTAGGGCCTGATATGTTTGAATTAGTGTCCTTATAAGAAAAGACACCAGAGAGCTCACTTTCTTCAATATGTGAGGACACTGAGAAAGCAGCCATCTAAAAGCCAAGAAAAGAGCCCTTACCATAAACAGAATCACTTGGCACCTTGATCTTGGAAATCCTAGCCTCCAGAACTATGAGAAAATAAATTAATTTCTTATGTTTAAGACTCTAAGTCTATGGTATTTTGTTATGGCACCCCAAGAAAACTAATATACCTCCCCAGAGTGTTGTGATATAGGCAGGTCTGAATATGCTTAAATGCCTAGTAAATCCTAATTTGAAACACAGATTTTTACAGCATAGTCTCTATTTTGTATTTATTTTCATTTATTTATTTACTTACTTATGTACTTATTTATAAGTTTTTAATTCCAGTTAGTTAACACAGTGTTATATGAGTTTCAGGTGTATGATATAGTGACAGCATAGTCTTTGATGAGACAATTTTAGCTGGAAAAACATGAGGGAAGATGATAAAAAATTATTTAAATGCACAGAATTTTTGCTTGATCCCTGTTGAATTCCAATTTTGAGAAATATTTTGCCTTGATGGGTCATAAAGGATAACAATAGTTAACATTTAGTGAGCTCTTACTATGTGTCCAGCATGAGTCTAGGCTGATTCATTAATCATTACAACAAGACTATACCTATATTCATATCGTCCCCATTTTATAGATGAGAAAACTGATACACTAACAGTTTATTTGTCCAAGGAAATATAGTTAGTAGGCAGTACATCTGACTCTTAACCTAGGCAGTCTGGCTTCAGAGACCATACTAACTACCTCACTATACTGAACTAACTAAATTAGTTGACCTACTGAATGAAAAATTAAAAAAAAATTATCCATTTTCATTTTGAAGAATGTGAAAAAGATGACTTTGAGGAATTTTGACAGTCATTATCCTATAGCATTGTTTGTAAAAAGTATTTTCATAGACTTTGTACATGGTCCTTATTTCTAATGTAAATTCTTGGGCCTTGTTCTAGAATTTTGGATCAAAAATCTTAAAAGTGGATTGTAGGGATCTGTATTATTAAGCCTAGAGAAAACCTAGCCTATAAATTTAGCTGTTAAACAAGCTGGTAAAATGCTGTCCTGATCATAGAGGAAAATACCTTTCTTACTTGTTGCAGACCTTTATGCATCTAATTGGAGAGTATTTATATCAGATGATTTATATATAATTTTACAAAGAGGGAAACATAGCTTTGTGTTGTACACTATATTTGAAATGCTATATTCTATGCTCCTACTTTGGTTTTCAGAGTGTTAAAATGATAGGCTTTTATCAAGCCTTGATTATCTGGAATCTGTGTTGTGAAATTAACACTTGAAAATGGTGTATTCTGTGAGAAACCTACAGAAACTGATTGTGTGTCTTGCATAGGAAATACATAATGAATGATAGAACCAAATACATCACAGAATAGTAAAAATTTTGTTGCTCATGTTGTCCTCATCCAATGCACAAATCTCTAGTAGACCCATTTGCAACTAGTCCACAGTAACATTCTGTTTAAAAGTCAACAGAGATTAGAACTCCTATCTCCCAAAGCAGGTCATCCCACTTTTAAACACTGAAAGATTCTTCCTTATATTAAAATGAAATCTATCTTTCTAACTTTGGTTTAAGTTTTCCCTCCTAGAGGTCATAAGAAAAAAAAAATACCAACTCTATTCCATTTCCCACGTGCAAGTCCTTCAAATATTTGATGATAATTGCATTGGTTCTCTTTCTCCACCTCTTCACTTTGCATTCATCTCCCATCTCTGCTTACTGCCAAGCTCCTGTGCTAACTTTTCATAATATGTGAAAAACAGATTTCCAATATGGTTTATGATTAGCTTTTTAAGATTGCTGGAAGGTTGTA